GGGGATGGGGGTGCCCTGTCCTCTGTGCGGGGCTGGGGTGCCCTGTCCTCTGTGTGGGGATGGGGGTGCCCTGTCCTCTCTGCGGGGATGGGGGTGCCCTGTCCTCTCTGCGGGGATGGGGGTGCCCTGTCCTCTGTGCGGGGCTGGGGATGCCGTGTCCCTCTGTATGGGGCTGGGACTGCCAGCTGTGCCCTCTGTGACCCTTCTCACTTTCTCTGTGACCCTTCTCACTTTCTCTGTGACCCTTCTCACTTTCTCACAAAAAGTGGTAAGATGAGGCCTGCACATTCCTGCACCTGGGTTCCTTTTCCTTTTTCAGTTTCATTTACAAATACACCCATGACGATGCCACCCCACGCGGTGCTTCCGTGTTCTCCGTGTGCGCCTCGGTCCCTCTGTGGGCAGCGCTGTGTTTGCCAGGGGGCCCCCCACTTCCGGGTGGCTGGGGACAGGGGTCCATAGACGTGAACTCCGGGCAGGGGGGAGGGTGCGGGAGAGCCATGGGTGTGAGTGGCGGAAGATGGGTGCCCGGGAGGCGGCCCGCCCAGCCCAGCGGGAGTGGCTCTCTCCCCGCCGCGCAGGGAGCCTGGCTGACACTGAACCTGCCACCCAAGCGGCCACGTCCGTCTCCAGGTGCAGTGGGGAAACATAACTGCATTGAATTCCCGAGTTTACAATCTCGCAGTTTTATTTTAGAATCGTTTGATTTGAGTAAAAATGGCCTGTTGGGTTAAAACGCAGTGCTGCCCAAACCACAGGACAGGGTACACAGCCGGGCCACAGAGCACGGCTCTCACGCTCAGCAGGCCATCTCGGCCACCTCGGACATCTCACATCTCGGAGGTGGCTGGCTCCCATCCCCCTCTGCTGGCCCGGAACCCGAGACTCAGAGGGCGGCCCTTGCCTGAGGCCACACAGCGGCTCCAGAGCCTGTGCCGCAGCCTCCCCCCTGTCCGGGATGATTCCCGGGTCTCCCCTTTGCCTCCTGGGGGCCTGGGAGGGCCTGCAGGGGCTCCTGCGCTGAGCAGAGGGGGTGGCACAGCCTGAATGAACCCCAACAACGCTGCCGGGCTTCCTGCCTGGTGCTTCCATTGGCTGCCTCTTCCTGCGGCTCTGCCTCTGCTCAGCCAGGGCAGCCCCCGTGGGCAGGCCGACCGGAAGGAGTGCTCCAAGCAGGCCCCGGCCCCGCACAGAGGGACACTGTCAGGTTTGGGTGTCAAGGTTTCTTGGCTTGTTTCTGGCCTGTGCTGCTTCCTCCTGAGCTGCTGTGATGCACTCAGGCCGAGTCCTGAGATGCTCAGTGGGGGCTTGGGTGCTCACCATGAAGACTCCGGCTGTGGGTGGGCGGAGGGCACCCCAGTGGCTGTCACTGGCTGGTGCTGCATCTGTCCTCCTTGGGAAACCTCTGGGGAGGCTGGGGAGCGGGGGTGGGGTGGGCAGCCAGGTGTTCTCCACGCCTGTCTCCCCACCGTCTTGTGGGAGACTTCGGACCGTTTCCTTCCCTGAGCCCAGCCGCCGCCTGGAAGTCCAGCACTGGACTGCCTCCCATCAGTGAGGATCTGCGACATGACTGGGGCCCCGGGCTGAGCCAGGCAGCGGCTGTGCTGGGTGCGGGCGCGGCAGAAGGCACAGCAGGTGATCACCACCTTGTTGTCACTCATCAGGCTCCTGACTCCGAGCAGAGCGGAAGGAAATGGAAATCCACGCTCGCTCGCCCGGGCCAGAGCCCGGTGGCCTGACCGGGGTCACTTCGGGGTCTGTGGCCCTGCTTCCGGGCTGGAGATGCCCAGGCCTGGACATCAGGGGCTGATGCTGCAAAAGGGAGGTGGTGGCTCTGGCCCTGTTTTTGAGAGCCTCTGGCCTGAGCCCAGGGAGCGTGCTCAGGGAGGACGTGTGCCCCCTGCGGCCGGCTCTGGCCAGTGCGCTGCGGGGAGAGCTGGCGGGGCGTCGGGCAGAGGGGCCGGGCGGGAGGGAAGTGAGGCCGGCGTGGTGTGTGGCAATAGGGAGAGGTGGGGACTGTGGAGAACTGGGTTGCGAATCGCTTCCCCGAAGGGGACGTCGCTGCTCAGCCCTCAGCCGTGTGCCACAGTGTTGCCACTGCTTGATTTTTTTTTTTTTTAAAGGAGCCAGAAATTTACTTTTTGAGCTGACATTTCACGATTTTTAAATATTTTCAAATCAACCAAGTCAAATTTTTAAGAAGCACCATCTGGGCCACATGCAGCCTGTTTCCAGGCTCGGTCTGTAAGCCTGGGCTCCAGCTCGTGGCCCTGAGTGGGAAGGAGGCCCAGGCTGGGGGTGGGGACGGGATGCAGAGGCCCCGTCCGCGGCTGTGGGGGCGGGGGACGCGCAGGGGGCGCAGATCTGAGTGTAGAACCAGATGGGGGAAGGAGGAGCGGGAGGGAGGAGGTGGAGGTGGGTGCTGTATCTTTGAATGGAATTAAAACAGGACAGAGAGAGCTTCTGCCTCAGGCTCCCTGGACCCCAGGGCAGTCAGCAGGCCCCTCGGAGCTGGGAGAGGGGAGGTGTTTTCATCAAAGACAGAGTTGGCGTCTAACCGGCCCACCGGCATAGGTGCCATCTGTGAAGGCGCTGACATGCTCTTACACCAATTGGTCAGTAGCCCCTGGGCCCATTGGGCCTCCCCTCAACCTCCCCACCCTCTTCCCCTGCTGGCCCCTCACCGCGCTGTGACCGGCAGTGACAGAGTGAGCTCCCAGCTCAGCCGGCCTTGTTCCCTCCTGCCTGGCCCGTGGGCAGTGCCTGAACCCCAGGCCGTAAGCCCCAGCCCCCGCCCTGTTGCAGGCAGCGTCTGCCCACCTGCCCACCTGGATCCAGGGCCAGCAGAGGTCATGTGACCGTTGTCCTGCCACTCTCCTCCTCGGAGCCCACCTCAGTCGGGGCTACCTGTCTCCGGGCCTGCGTCCCAGCCACGAACCCGGAGCCTTTGGACCAAACCTCAGCTTCCTGCCACTGGCCTGTGTCCAGGGCGCGGGGCCTCTCCCGGTGCAGATGTGCCCGCCTCAGAGGGGACGCCGGCAGGACTGGCACGGGGTCCCGCAGGGCCTCCTGGGATGGCAGATCCTGGGGACCGTGTGGCTGTATTCCCAGCTCTCCGGGCGGGAGAGGCGAGGGTGTCTGAGGGACTGTGGGGAGGGTGGAGTTGGCGCTTGCAAAGCTGAGTGAGGGGAACGGAGGGCGGAGGAGCCACCGGCAGCCTCCGCGTGGACCGTGGGCGAGTTTCCCTGCTCCCTGCCAGACTGGCCCCTTCCTCCCGGCTGCCTCCCCTGTCGGCACAGCTCTGCCTCGTCATTCCCTTAAGCAGCGCGGGCATGGGCAGGGCTCTCAGTGGTCAGTGGGGGTCTCAGCCCGAGCTGCCACCACGGCTCTCCAGCTGGTCCCTGGCGGCTGGCACCCCCACTCCCCTGTTCCTCCTCCGTAAGGGGGAGGGGTTAGGTGCCGGCGATTATTAAGTTCATGGCTGGCTGACCCTGAAAACCGCTCCAGGCATGAGCCGAAGCTCACTCACTGTGAGCTCTGCTCTCTGAATATTTACTGAGCTCCTCCTTTGTGCCAAACACAACAGCAGCCCTCAGGTGCTTGCACTGCAGCGAGGGGATGGGTAAGGGCGGTGAGAGTGGCCCCTGGACGTAGTGACTGAGGAGAGAGGAGGTTTTTCTCAGGGTCTGTCCAAAGGGACGAAGCCCATGGCTAGCGAGGATGGCTTTGAGTGAGAGTGGTCACTCCAGTCCTCCCCGTCCTCCGGCTGCTGTGGAGGGGAAGGGCCCACGGGGCCGGTGTGCGTACGTTCTCCTAAGAGAGCGGGCCCCGCAGCGCACACGTCCCGTTGGCCAGAGCTCGGTCACACCGGCCACAGCTGCAAGGGAGGCTGGGAGTGGTCTCTCCCTGGCGCCTGAGCTCTGCTCTGACTCCAGGTTCTGCTGTGAAGGGAAGAGCAGGTGTTGGGGGGAACCAGCAGTCTCCGCCACGGCCTTCGGACTCTGTGTGACCTTGAACCCTGTTCTACAGGAGATGAGTCCCAGCAGGTGGCCTCATCCCAGACGTGGGTTTGCGGCCACTCTAGACCAGTTTCCAGCCTTCTTTTGGCCAGGCCCCCCTAAGCACCTCCAACATCCTGATGGCCTTTCCCTCCCCCCTACCTCATGACATAGAATTCTTATTCAAAAGGCAGGCTCCTATTCATGTGGAGGAAGCCTAAACGGCCAGGAACTTGGTCTAAACAAGCTTCCAAAGAACATGGCACCCACAAAAGAGAAAAATAAAAGAACAAAAGAACAGTGGATGGACTGAGGAAGACATCACTAAGAAATTGTTAAAAAAAAAAAATAATATGAAGTGATATGAAAAATAGCAAATAATCTTTCAAAACATATAATGGAGAACTGAAATGCATAAATTTTCAGCATATCTAGAATAGTAAAGTGTGATATGCTAATGAGACTGGACAGCCGGATGACCTTCTGGACGAAGCCGGGGCTGCGAGGGCGGAGCCCCTTGCACGCATTTCATGCCTCGGACCTCTAGTGTGTTAGAGTGTGTACGAGGCCTCTGGAGCCATACAAAATTCGAAACATGCGCTGTTAATAGCTCATTCTCGAATTGCCCCCCTTAAGGGTCAAACTGCCCTGTGAGTGCCCCCGTTGGGAGTCCCTGCTCCAGAGGCTCGCTGAGCGGTGGAGGGGGAACAGGAGTGAGTGCAGGGTCTACCCGGCGTGTGGGCACTGTGCCTGCTGCCGGGACCCTTGCTGCAGGCAGGCCTGCAGGCTGGGCTCTGACGGAGGCCCCGGGCGCAGGCACAGCCGGTGCTGCCACTGACCAGGGAGCCCGCTCCTCCTTCACTGGCCCCTTCGGCCCCTGGTCACCAGACTCCAGCGAAGGTCCTGACAGGCGTGAGGAGGGGGCTCGGCCCTCAGCGGCTCTCGGACTCTGCAGAGGGCCGCCTCGGCTGACACTGGCCTCTTGTCTTCTCTTGGCCTTAGGACCCCCGGAGCAAGCACAAGTTCAAGATCCACACCTACTCCAGCCCCACGTTCTGTGACCACTGTGGGTCGCTGCTGTACGGGCTCATCCACCAGGGGATGAAGTGTGACAGTAAGTACGCTGGCTCCCACGGGGCCCGCCGGCTGGCCGCACACCTGCCAGGCACGCCCACCAGGCTGCTCATCCGCTCCAGGGGAAGCCTCGGCCTCTCCGCCCGCTGCTGTGCTGGAGTGGGGCTTCTGCCGTGTTAGGTCCCCCCGACCCCCGCTGTGATGGAGTGAGGGCTGCTGGGGCGTTAGGGCCCCTGTCCCCCCACCCCCACTGTGTTGGTTGGGGGTGCTGGGGTGTCGGCTTCGCCAAGTCCCCCCACGCACATCTTCCCTCACTTGTTACTGCCACCTGGTAGGAAGTCAGTTACTGCCACCTGGTAGGAAGTCAGTGACTCTGGCTTCAGGACCTTGGGGGGCGTGGGGGCGTGGGGGGTGTGGGGAGTGTAGGGGGCGTGGGGGATGGGGTGCACCCTTAGCCTCCGGGAGACAAGCTCCACCTCCTCTGACCCTCAGGGTGGGGGTGGGTGGGTTGGAGAAGCCTGATGTGACCCAGCTGGGGGTGGGCTTGCTGCGGCCAAGCTGGGGGGTCTCAGCCACCTGGAAGGGAGGAGGGAAGGAGGCCCGGGCCTGGGGGGCACAGGGCAGCCACCGGCCCCGCCAACCCGAGCCCTGCCCCCAGCCTGCATGATGAACGTGCACAAGCGCTGCGTGATGAACGTCCCCAGCCTCTGCGGCACGGACCACACGGAGCGCCGCGGCCGGATCTACATCCGGGCGCACATCGAGGGGCCCGTCCTCACCGTCTTCGGTAGGTGGCAGGGGTGGGGGAGGCAGGGGTGGGGGTGGCAGGGATCGGGGTGGCAGGGGTGAGGGTTGGGAGTGGGGGATGCAGGGGGTGGGGGTGGAAGGGGGGCTGTTTCCATCATCGATGGGCAGGGCCCCGGAAACGCCTGGGCACTGGGGGCTGGAGCTCAGGATCCCCCCCTTCTCCCCCCTTCCCACTCCCTCAGTGTCTGTGGAGTGGGCACCCGTGGCTCCTTTATCAGGACAGCAGAGATGGGTGCTGGGCTTGATGGGAGGTGAAGTGGGTCCTGGGATTTCCCGTGTTGGAAATACTTCTTTCTGGCACCGGACCGCAGCTACGCTGGTCCCTGTACCATCCTCCTGCCTTTGGTTCTGCTGAAGTATGCTCTAACGGGAAGAGGGCCACTCAGCTGCTGGGGAGGTGCGGTGGGACTGGGGCGAGAGAGCGAGGTGTCCGTCACTCAGGTAACGGGCCCCCAGAACCTCTGGCCCCCCCAGGAAGCTCGGGTGAGGTGGAGGCTGGACACACGCAACCACAAGCCGAGGCGAAACCAGCTCCGACTGGCCTTGGGTGAGACATTAGAGCTAGCCAACGTGATTAGGGTCTGATCACTTGGTAACTTAGGAAACTGATCACGAAAGGGACTGATTCTGTAAAAGCCGGTCTGTGAGGCCCAGTAGCTCTCATATAACCCTGGTTTTACGCCGGGGGTCGTGACACCTGGTGGGCACCCACTGAATTGCTTTCTCCTTAAAATAGAAAGGAAGGGGCGGACTTCACCCCACCGGGCCACTTGGGGATTCTCCACGGAGCCTGCAGTCACTAGTAACAAGTAGCTGGTTTTCCCAGGACTAAGCACGTGGGTGAAGGGGCAAAAAGTGAGGCCCTGCTGCCCTCTACTGTCCTATTGTAGGAACTACAAGACTCAGAATGGTACTGGGACCTTGCAGCTGTTAGGGCAGTCTGCATGGCTGGAGCTTATGAATCTGGGCTCACACCGTCGTCACGATGGCCTAAGGCCCAGCCCTTGTTCCCAGGACAGGAAAGAAGTGACAGTTGCATGACATGAAGGAGGGCAGCAGTCGTATTGCAGTCTACGGTGCATCAGATCCGCACGCTGCGCCCCTTCAGCTGGCTCCGTGTTGCATGTCCATCATGTTATCTCTTTCATTACTCTCAGCAGCCTGAGCATGCCTGTTATGCTCATTTTATGGAGCTCCGAGGCTCAGAAAGGTTATGCATTCAAGACCTCACTCCATTGCTGAGCAGAGTGAGAATAACACAATAGCTAACCTGGGAGTGTTTAATGTGTCAGTCATGGTGAAAGCAGCCACAGGGAGCTGTGCTCCTTTCCCAGCCTCCGCTGGGTAAGCAGCAGCAGGGTTCCACCGCCCGGCTGCAGGCTGAGCTGTGCGTGCACGCCGTCCCGTGGCCTGCTGGCCCCTGAGTGCGCTATGCCCTGTCACTGTCTATCCCAGTGCTCTGCACACCCCCGGCTCTTCCTTCTGTGGTTAGCTACATTGTCTCTATGAGCATTCCTTGGCGAGTCTTTAATCCAACTGATGCAGGGCAGTGAGCCTTGAAAGTCAAGGCCAAAGTCTTCGCCTTCATTCCATATTGCTCTGGCAGTCCTAGTATCTGCCTATGAATACTCATTTCCTGCAGCTGACCCTACAAAAATCCCACAAACCGATGGCCTAATGCAGTGTTTCCCAAACGTTTGACATATGTGCACCCCTTCTATAATTTTCGTAACGCTGAGTACCCCTGGTACTCATGAGAGCGTAGAATTAGGCGCAGCTAAGCACGGTGCAGTGCATGTCCCCACCAAACTCCGGTGCAACGCGTACCCCCACCAAAGTCTTCCCGTACCCCTGGGGGCACGCGTGCCACACTTTGGGCAACACTGGCCTAATGGGACAGACACCTGCTCTCTCAGTGTTCTGGAGGCTGGAAGTCTGAATCCAAGGGTCAGTGGGGGCGGCTGGTTCCTTTGGAGGTGCCCTCTCTGCGTGCTGGTGGCTGCCATCAGCCTCTGGGGTTCCCCAGTCGCGTGTCTCTGCGTCACACTGCCTCCTCTGAGGACACCAGCCATTGCATTAGGGACCCACCCTTCCTAGTACGACCCATCTTAACTTGGTTACATCTGCCAGGACCCTGCTTCCAAATAAGGTAATATTGACAGGTGCTGCGGTTAGGACTTGAATATATCTTTTGGGGGGGACACAAGTGAAACGGGGAGAGGGAGGAAAGTTGGGGTTCCTTTAAAGTGAGGGGCAGAGTCTGCCAGTGTGGCTCGGTGGGTTGGGCGTCACCACATGCACCGAAAGTGCCTGGTTCAGTTCCTGGTCAGGGCACACGCCCAGCTTGCAGGTGGGTCCCTGGCCGGGGTTTTGGAGCAGGAACTGATTGATGCTTCCCTCTCACATGGGTGGTTCTCTCTCCCCCTCTCCCTTCCAAGCTCTCTAAAATCAGTTAAAAAGCAGGAAAGCGAGGGGCCGGGTATTTTCATGCCCAGCGTTCGGATCGCTTTAAAGGTAGCCACCAGCGTTGCTGCCCCGCGGTGGCCGTCCGCGTGCTGTGGTCTGGAGGGAGAGCTGGTGCTCACACAGAAGGGGAAACTGAGGCTCCGCGAGGCTGAGCAGCTCGCCTGGAGTCACGCACAGGGCCTGGCCTGGCGGCAGGTCCCAGTGCCCGGCTGCGGCTCCGTCACCTCTCTGGGCACAGCCAGTCCTTGGCACGGGCTTGCGATGGCTTGGTGATGGAAGAACCTGCTGCTTTGACTGTAGTTCTCTAAAAATAGAGGCAAGATGAGTTTCTTGTTCAAGTGACTATTGGGGCTGCCCAGGGGGCGAGGAGTGAGCACCGAGCAGGGAGAGGCGGAGTGGGAGTGTGGTCCCCGCCAGAGACTGGCCTTAGCCCCACACAGAGCCCCATGCGGAGGTGGGGCCCAGCATCCCTGCAGTCAGACCCTCCTTGGGCAAGAGGGCTATTCTGTGAGGGCCCTCAGTCTCCCCAATTCTCTCTCCCCAAACTCTTGGTGGAGCTCCAACCCCCAGTCTGTCATGGACTCTCTGCTGCCAGCCGCCCTGTGCCGGTGCCGGCTTCCTGTCCGCTGGGTAGCGCCCCATTTCCGACAAGCTCTAAGCTCCAGGAGAGCAGGCGCGTTGCCCCTGCTCCTCGCTCTTCTGGCCACTGGTGTGATGGGCATCACTCCGTACTGGTGGTCGGCGAGTCCGAGCGGAGGGTGGTGATAGGGGTATAGGAGCGGAGGGTGGTGATAGGGGTGTAGGAGGGGAGGGTGGTGATAGGGGTGTAGGAGGGGAGGGTGGTGATAGGGGTGTAGGGGGGAGGGTGGAGATAGGGGTGTAGGAGGGGAGGATGGTGATAGGGGTGTAGGAGGGGAGGGTGGTGATAGGGGTGTAGGGGGGAGGGTGGAGATAGGGGTGTAGGAGGGGAGGATGGTGATAGGGGTGTAGGAGGGGAGGGTGGTGATAGGGGTGTAGGAGGGGAGGGTGGTGATAGGGGTGCAGGGGGGAGGGTGGTGATAGGGGTGTAGGAGGGGAGGGTGGTGATAGGGGTGTAGGGGGGAGAGTGGTGATAGGGGTGTAGGGGGGAGGGTGGTGATAGGAGTGTAGGAGAAAGGGGTGTAGGGGGGAGGGTGGTGATAGGGGTGTAGGAGGGGAGGGTGGTGATAGGGGTGTAGGGGGGAGGGTGGTGATAGGGGTGTAGGGGGGAGGGTGGTGATAGGAGTATAGGAGAAAGGGGTGTAGGGGGGAGGGTGGTGATAGGGGTGTAGGAGAAAGGGGTGTAGGGGGGAGGGTGGTGATAGGGTGTAGGAGAAAGGGGTGTAGGGGGGAGGGTGGTGATAGGGTGTAGGGGGAGGGTGGTGATGGGGGTGTAGGAGGGGAGGGTGGTGATAGGGGTGTAGGGGGGAGGGTGGTGATAGGGGTGTAGGAGAAAGGGGTGTAGGGGGGAGGGTGGTGATAGGGTGTAGGGGGAGGGTGGTGATGGGGGTGTAGGAGGGGAGGGTGGTGATAGGGGTGTAGGCGGGAGGGTGGTGATAGGGTTGCAGGAGCGGAGGATGGTGATAGGGGTGTAGGAGGGGAGGATGGTGAAGGCGTGTTGGAGTGGGGGACTTCACAAGTGACCCCAGCCACCGCCCTGCCGTCAGGAGCTGCAGTTCACCCACTTCTCCATTTCACATCGCTGTCTTCACAGGAAGGAGTCCATGCGGAGAATCTTACGGACCAGGTCCAAGGTCAGCCTCAGTGTTACTGGGTCTAGGACCCACCTTAGAGCTAGGCCTCCCCTGGCTCCCTGGGCCCATAGACGAGAAAGGCCCGGCAGTGGGACGTGTCAGAATGTATGGACATCGTGGTTCTCAGTGGTACAGGAGCCGGCCATGCGGCTCAGAAACCCGGGTCAAAGGTGGGGAGTTGATGAAGCCAAGGTCCTTACCCATTTAACCCTTTGCCACCCAGTATCTCCCTGTTAATGCAGAACTGGCATCCGTCATTCCCATCCCCATCCCACTGCAGCCCGCTGCACACCCTTCCACCGCAGCTCACAGCCACGGTCACACGCACAGGAGTGGGTTCCTGACGGAGCTGAAGGCGCATTTCTTTGAGCTTCTTTGGGGCTTCCAGTCCATGTGCTCTGTGCGCACTCTCTTAGCTGAAAGCTCCCAGGAAGACTCCCGGTATGCAGATCTGGTATGCAGATGTGGTATGCAGATCCTTTCCAAGCTTGAGGTTCGCTCATCAGAACAAGAACGCACCAAAGACATTGTACTTGATGGCCATTGGGGCAGGTTGTGGGCTGCACCTTCCCTTTCTTCAACACTGCACTAAGGGGTGAGGTGGGAAGTGGGGTAGTTTGGAGTGATCAGGTGTTTTCAGTGTGAGAAAGTGGCTTGTTATAGCAGTGTAAGATGGGCTCTAAGCTTGAGTGTTCATTAATTTATATTCATCCATCCATCCACCCATCCACTCATCTACTCG